TTTTTTTTTTTAGTAGAGATGGGGTTTCACCATGTTGGCCAGGATGGAATCTTGTGAGCCACCCACCTTGGCCTCCCAAGTGTTGGGATTACAGGCATGAGCCACCGCACCTGGCCAACCAAAACTTTTAAGAATGTTTTGTGGCAAAGCACAGTGGCTCACACCTATAATCCCAACACTTTGGGAGGCCAGCGTGGGAGTATGGCTTGAGGCCAGGAGTTATAAAGGAGCCTGGGCAACATAGTAAGACCCAATCTCTACAAAAAATAAAAATACAAAATTAGCCAGGCATGGTGGCACACACTGTAGCCCTAGCTATTCAGGATGCTGAGGCAGAAGGATTGCTTGAGCTCAAGAGTTCAAGGCTACAGTGAGCTATGATCGCGCCACTGCACTCCAGCCTGGGCAACAGAGAAACACCGTGTCTCTAAAAAAAAATAACAAAACTGTGTTTTGCCCTCTGTTCTCTGAAGTCGTTCTGCTTTCCTGAGGATGTCAGCGTCCACGAGCACGAGCATGCAATTTGCCTGACTCACCATCCCACGTCTTCCTCAGCTCTGATGACCTTTGCTTCCACTCCCCTTAAGCCACCCCAGGAAAGGCTCTTGTGATCCTTTCAGATGGCTAGATTTCTGAAATCTTAAACTCCAATATTCTTTCTACTTGCCCTTCATGGCAGATGATATTTTCCAAGGTGGTTGCAACAAGTTCTGCCATCTCATGTGCTCATTTTTTAAATTTTTAAATTTTTTATTTTATTATTTTATTTTTATTTTTATTCACTCTGTCACCCAGACTGGAGTGCAACAGTGTGATCTTGGCTGACTGCAACCTCTGTCTCCCGGGTTCACGAGATTCTCCTGCCTCGGCCTTCCTAGTAGTTGACATTAAAGGCGCCCGCCACCATGCCTGGCTATTGAAAATTTGTATTTTCAATAGAGATGGGGTTTCACCAGGTTGGTCAGCCTGGTCTCAAACTCTTGACTTCAAGTGATCCGCCTGCCTCAGCCTCCCAAAGTTCTGGAATGACAGACATGAGCCACCACGCCCAGCCTAATTTTTAAATTTTATAAATAGGTAACAATAGGCCTGGCGCGGTGGCTCACGCCTGTAATCCCAGCACTTTGGGAAGCCAAGGCAGGTGAATCATTAGGTCAGGAGATTGAGACCATCCTGGCCAACATGGTGAAACCCTGTCTCTACTAAAAATACAAAAAAAAAAAAAAAAAAAAATTAGCAGGGCATGGTGGCAGGTACCTGTAATCCCAGCTACTTGGGAGGCTGAGGCAGGAGAATTGCTTGAACCAGGGAGTCGGAGGTTGCAGCGAGCCAAAATATCACACCACTGCATTCTAGCCTAGCAACAGAGTGGGACTTTGTCTCAGAAAAATAAAAATAAAAAAAGGGAACAATAGACACTGTAGACTACTGGATGGGGAAGTGGGGAAAGGGGCGTACGTAGGTTGAAAAACTACCTTTCAGGTGCTATGCTCACTACCTGGGTGCAAAATACCCTTGTAACAAATTGCATATGTACCCCCTCTATCCAACACAAAAGTTGGGAGCTGGTGTAATGGCTCATGCCTGTAATCCCAGCACTCTGGGAGGCCCAGGTGGGAGGATCACTTGAGCTCAGGAGTTCAAGACTAGCCTGGGCAACGTGGTGACACCCTGTCTCTACAAAAAATACAAAAATCAGCCAGGCATGGTGGACTGCACCTGTAATCCCAGGTGGGACTGAGGAGGGTGAGGTGAAAATTGCTTGAGCCCAGGAAAGCAAGGCTGCAATGAGCTGTAATGACACCACTGCACTCCAGCTTGGGCAACAGAAAAAATCCCTGTCTGAAAAACAGAACAAAATAAAACAAAAAACTCACTAACTCTGAACTCCAATTAAGCAAAATATGCCTAAACAAAAAAATTCCATTCTTTTCATCAGTAGCATCAGTAGCGTTATTATATAATGACATCATTATCTTTTCTTTTTTTTTGAGATGGAGTCTCACTCTGTTACCTAGGCTGGAGTGCAGTGGTTTGATCTCAGCCTACTGCCGTCTCCGCCTTCTGAGTTCAAGCGATTCTCCTGCCTCAGCCTCCCGAGTAGCTGGGATTACAGGCGACCATCACCACACCCAGCTAATTTTGTATTTTTTAGTAGAGATGGGGTTTCTCCATGTTGCTCAGGCTGGTCTTGAACTCCTGACCTCAGGTGATTCTCAGCCTGGGCCTCAGAAAGTGCTAGGATTACAGGCGTGAGCCACCGCGCCCGGCCGATATCATGATCATTATATTTTGAGTTTCGTCAATGTGAAATTTATGGGAAGAAGGGGTGGTTCCAGCACTGAGAGCGGGCTTGTACCGTCATCATGGAGACGGACGGTCCAACGCTTCTGATTGGCAGGGACCACGGGATGGGTCCTCGGCCCGCCCCCATCGGCCCTCTCCGACCGGGTGGTTCTGGGAGGGCTGGAGGCCAAGGCCGCGGCCCCTGGGGTCTGCACAGCACAGGTGGAAAGCAGGCGGGGGGAGCTGGTGGGAGTCAGGAGCCCCAGCGATGAGGAGCGCGGGCGGACGCAGCCGGCGCATGCGTACTGGAGGTCCGAGGCCAGCACCGCGCGCCGCCATTGCGGGGAGGCTGGAGTCAGAGCGGATCTGGCGCGCGCGAGGCTGGACCGGCCCCAGCAGCCCAGTCACCCGGCGTCATCCGCTTAGGCGGCGGGGCCGTCGGCACCCTCTCCCGCCCGGGTCCACACTGGTGGCGGCGGCGGGGGGCGGAGCCTGCCGGAGCGCCCTTTGTCTGCAAAGGTAAGTGCGCTCTGGGAAGAGGAGGAGGCGGGCGGCGGGGGAGGGGCGGCAGCTGTCCCTTTTCCTGTCACCCGCCCCGTGTACCTTTCTGAGTTTTGGTCTTTTGTAGGAAGGTCTTCCCCGTCCCAGTACTATGAACACATTGTCCACTACTATCTGCGAATGACTCTAAGACTGAAAAAAAATCTGCAATTTATTTTTGGGCAGGCGTCCATAGGTATCATTTTGGGGTCTTAGCATTATGCAAACGTTGCCTTTATTTTCTTCTAAGACATTTAAATAATTTGAAGAATATTTTTCTTTTTCCCCTTTTTATCTGTATTTCATTGGGTATGATATTTGTGGTAAGGGGTTAGGTAGAGATTTGCCGTTTTCTCTCATTATCTTGACTCCGTTGAGTCACTTTTCCACGGAATTGCAGTGACAGTTTAATTACATTTTGCAGGTGTGTATATACTCATAGGTGTTTCTGTTTATTGATGTTTTTGTTTTGAGACAGGATCTCACTTGGTCACAGGCTGCAGTGTAGTGGTGCAATCATGGCTCACTGCAGCCTCGAACGCCTGGGCTCAAGAGCTCTTCCTGCCTCAGCCTCCCTAGTAGCTGGGACCACAGGTGCGCACCACCACGTCCGGCTTTTTGTTGTTGTTATTCAGAGACTGGGTCTCACCATCTTGCCCAGGCTGGTCTTGAACTCCTGAGCGCAAGTAATCCTCCCGCCTTGGCCACTTAAAGTGCTGGGATTAAAGGCCTGAGCCAAGGCGTTCTCCCGGATGTTTCTAGATTCTTTCCTTTTACTGCCCTGATAGTTTCTGCACTAATTATATGTGTATTTATTTATTTTAAAATGTTTAGGCCAGTTGCAGTGACTCACACTTGTAATTGCAGCACTGAGAGGCAGAGGCAGGAGGATCACTTGAGCTCATGAGTTGGAGACCAGCCTGGGCAGCATGGCAAGACCCCGTCGCTACAAAAACACTAGAAAAATTAGCTGTGCTTGGTGCTGTGTGCCTGTAGTTCCCAGCTACTCGAGGGACTGAGGTGGGAGAATGGCTTGGGCCTAGGAGATGGAGGTGGCAGTGAGCCAGAATCATGCCACTGTACTCTATCCTGGGTGATAGAATTAGACCTTGTCTCAAAATGTAAAATAAATGTTTTAAGCAAATTTCCTTTAATTATGCCCTTTCACATAATGATCTTTTTCTTTTCTTTTTTTTGAGACAGAAAGACAGT